GGGGGGGGGGGGGGGGGGGGGGGGGGGGGGGGGGAGAGAAGGCGTAGAGAGCAGAAGTTTCTTTTGGCGATTAGCGCGGCCGCTCTTGCGTGGCCCTCGTCTGCGGAGCGCGGGGAGCACTTAGGGTGGGGGCCTCCTCGAGTACTTCTCCAAATAATTATGGTTCCACAGTCATTATGCTTTAACGGCCGCCATTTGGCGATGCAAGGCAGTGTCTGTTACATAAAGTTTCGGGGTGGAAATGAAAATGCGGCGGGCGAAGATCCGAGCTGCCAGTTTCTGATAAGCCGCTCAGACAGCAGATGTTGCCAAGCCGACACATTTCTCTACAGCAGAGAGAAAAAAAATACTACATTTCCCCACGCAGAGCACTCTGATTCTGATTCTTTATTACACGTGTTTGTGCCTTTGAGTCTTTTTTTTTTACTGGCTGTAAATACATGACTCTCGATGGCAATGGATCGCCCAACATGTCTGACAGTACCTGAGTCGTTGCCTGTTGCATTCTGGCAAAGAATTTGGAAGCAAATTCGTCATCGTCATTAGAAGTACGGAGCCCCCCCCTCCGCCCCAAGTAACATGGCAATATTTTTTTCTTTTGCATTCCCACACAACGCTTTTGCGTAAGTTTTAAGTTCCCTCACAATAGGCTTTGCGTTGCCGATCTCAAATCAAAACCTTCTAAGGTTCTCCAAAGGATGTGGGTTCTCCATTGCGTCCAGGCTGACACAAAGTTACCAGTGGGCTGATTATTCTGCATGATTATGGGCAAGCCAAACTTGTAGCGAGGGCATCCAAAAGAATTGCGACGTAATGCAATGGTTGTTGCGACGTAATGCAATGGTTGTTGCGACGGCATGCAGAAGTATCGCAAGGTTATCCAAAAGAATTTCGAGGGCATGCAAAAGTCATTTGAGTGGACGCAAAAGTATTGCACAGGAACACAGGTATTGCAAGGGAACGCAATAGAATTGCGAAGGAATGTAGAAGTATTGCAAGGGAACTCAAAGGTATTGTGAGTGAACGCAAAATAATTGCGACAGCTCACAAAATTATTGCAAGGGAACTAAGAAGTATTTTGTGTGAACGCAAAAGAATTTTGAGAGCTCGTAAAAGTTAGGGAACGCAAAGGTATTCCGAGGGAATACAAAAGTATTGAGAGGGAACACAATAGCATACAAGGGCATGCAGAAGTATTGCGAGGGAACTCAAAGGTATTATGAGTGAATGCAAAAGAATTGCGAGAGCTCGTAAAAGTTTTTCAAGGGAAGGAAAAGAAGGGAACGCAAAGGTATTGCGAGGGGAACGCAAAAGAATTGCAAGGGCATGCAGAAGTATTGCGAGGGAACTTAAAAGTATTGTGAGTGAACGCAAAAGAATTGTGAGAGCTCCTAAAAGTATTGCGAGGGAACGCAAAAGGTATAGCGAAGGAACGCTATAGAATTGCAAGAGCTTGCAAAAGAATTGCAAGGGAATGCAAAAGTTATTGCGAGGGCACGCAAAAGTATTGCGAGGACATCCAAAAGTATTGCGAGGGAACGCAAAAGTAAAAAGTATTGCCACGTTACCTGGGGGGCTCCATGAAAATGGAAGGTTGTCTCAAATGAACTTTTAAATTCATGATATTTGCTCATGTCATAACAGATAGGAGAAGAGCCTGAACCATAGAGAAACCGTGCTCCATGTGACCGGCCTGCTCTCTGGTCGATGCACTCTTTCAACGTCAATGTAACTGTTTATTACTTTAAATTCCCAGTGCCTTAATAAATACTTATGTGTAAAACAAACAAATAACTAAACAAATATATAAAGTGTCTATCATTTTCAAGGGCTCTCTTCAAAGCTAAGTATGACTTTGGTCCCAGTGCGAAAGAGCCAATGACTGGACCAGAGTTTTAGTTTCCTCTGGAGGGAAGCGTGTCCTCACCTTGCGGTAGAGTCTGTTCCAGCGGGTGAACAGAGCGTGCTTGCAGAGCCGCGAGGGCGTGGCCGTGTCCCTTCTCCGTCCGGTCGCAGTGTTGACCAGCTCCAGTTGCTGGTCGCCCTGCGTCCAGTTGAGGCTAACACACGTGGCCTTCCCTGGCTGCTGATACTCAGCGCTGCTCAGCCCTGTGGGGAAAGAAAACGGTGGCTTCATGGAGGGTAGAATTTCAGTAACATTCGAGGGATTGCCCTACAAGGAGGTTCACCAAAAGAAAAAAAGTTTAATTGAAGAAAATGTAAAGGCCTTGTAAGGGAATTTTGCGACTTTGGGCTTTTCCTCTCAATCGCCCACTTTGTTATGTGGTTTCACCTTCGTCCACCCTTGCCTTGCCCTCTCCCTGAGGATCCCTGATGGCTGACGTAAAGTTTTGCAGCGCTGCAATAACCCACGTCAACGTGAGCCTGAAACCGCACGGCTGTTTATGTGAAGCTTTGATACGACCCCCCAGAGAGAGAGGGAAAGAGGTTGAAAAGGAAAAGCTATCAATGAAAAAAGCAATGTTGTCCCTGCCTTTGTGGGAGTGATTGTCCTCTCTTGCATCCCCGCAGTTAATGTTTGAGCTATATATGCTGTAAATATTATCTCTGTTCACAAAGATCTGGGCTGTCACCCCGTTTCGTCCTCTCTCTACTTTTCTGACGGAAATAATTTGCCTCACCAGCAAAGGACACAAAAGGGGATAGAGAAACAGAGTAGGCAGGTAGAGGGAGAGTGGTCACAGTGGGTTCCAAGTAGAGAATTAGCTGTCCCCATTCAGGACACAGGTATTGGCAATGGTGCTTGGCCGGTGGTGGAAAAGGAGATGACTGTGTGGTCAGAAGCAAATGAGGCCTCAGGGCCAGTGTGAGTTTTTCATAGGAACCGATTTTCCCAAGGTTTTCACGTTAAGTAAAACACAAGTCTTGACTTCCACCTGATATTACAGCCTGAAGCAAAATGTTAAATAACAAAGCTAAACATACCTGCCAGAATTTTTTAGGCCATACATCTTTATTGAATTTAAGCTGCTCTTATTTTCACAGAAAGACTTAATAGTGGCCGAGTCTGCATTCAGTAGAACTAAAGAAAATTTGACCAAAAACAAACAGAAAAAAGACAGAGAACTATATGAGAGAATCGTGTTAGGACCTGGAAAAACGTTTTTGTTAAGTACTATGTCTGTTCTGTTGAAAATTTGGTGGGTGAAATAGACTAGCTAGCTAGCAGCCGGTTAGCCCCATCCGCCCTGAAGGAAATAATGACTACAAAACTCACTTGCATTTTTTCATAATAGAAATGTCAAAAGTAAACGAGACGATGAAATGTCCAATATTTTATTCCATTTAATTGAACACATCAGCTCTTAATTCCCCGGCTGAAGTGAGCTATGATGCTATGCTAAATTAAGCTAACCGAGTGAGGAATGTGCATTATTCCAGCAATAATTAATTTCTACAACGTTGACATTTTTGGTGACAAAAACTATGTGACTGTTACCTTGTAAATAGTCGGAATAGTCTAATCAATAATAACAAGTAGTCCTTTGGCCAAAAGTTTCTTGTAGCATTGATAAGTTACATATCTCCACCTATTCAGAGAACTGGTTTTTGATGTTAGTTTGACTCCCAACACAGTTTTTTTGTGGCGCCATGCAGTCTGTAAGGGGCCTTTTCAGCAGCAAATGCCTTTGATCTCATCATCTGGTAGACAGCTTGTTATAATATAAAACCTCATCAACAACGCCACAATAGATGCCTGCAGATCATTTCCACGTTCATTTTCCCATCTTCATTCTTCCATTCACCGGTCCCACCTCTTATTTTCCGTTGCTCCGTGAAGCTAGAATGAATCACCTGCCACAGTAACAATCCTCCAAGTCTCTTATTACCCATCCCTCCTCTCTTGTGCAGACGCACCTCTTTGAACAAAAGACCTTCCTATCCATCCTGCTTTTTTTCCCCTTGCCTCTCGCTCCATTCATGGCTCATTTCATCCCTTCAATGGACTTGACTCCTGTGTTTCTGTAATAGCCAATTTGATTTTTCCTTCATTGAAGACTTGATCAATGCCTCCTCTGGGAAGAGCTTGGCAGACATGAAAGCGGCTGAATCGGAGCATTTGGTTATGGGATTCATCGCTGACTTTACATGCAGGGTTTTATATCTGAGCGTGCTGCTGTGTGTTTGACTGAAGGTGCCGCATCTATTTTTACGTGGCGATGAATCAGAGGAGGAGCCGTGAAGCAACAGCCACTTTTTGTGGCATAAACACACCTCAGCAGCGCCTTTGTACAGATTAGGATTGTGAATGAGGGTTACAAATCCCTGTCAAACCTGGGGAGCTTTTGGTTAACCCCAGAAGAAATACATCTTTTTAACAACTTGATGACTACTAAAATCCTCCAATATGCAGGCTTGATGTTATATACAGCTTTTTCCTGAACTCAAATGTGAATTTTCAGCTATTTTAAGCGTCTATCTGTTCTCACAATGACACACTCGTTTGGCACCGTCCAAATTGTTTGAAGTTAAGTTAAGCTTATATTAAAAGGTCCGCTTTACAGCTACAGATGCTGACTGATGTGCTCTGGAGCTGTGGAGAATCAAAGGCAAATCAAAGAATTCCATGTGTTCATTTACTTTAAAAGGTACTTTAGGGGACTTTATGATTAATTCATTCTTTTCTGTTTTTAATCGATGTAAAGCATACGTGTTGCAATGCATTTGAATGAAATGTGCTTTATAAATAAAGATTGATTGATTGATAATTGACTAAAGCAATTTAAAAAAAATCCCTTTGGTGAGAAATCAATCAGTATCTATATTTACATTTAAACCCCAATCAAAGTTATCCTGATTAGATCATTCTTTAAACACACACACACACACACATGGACACACACACAGAAGATTGAATCACTGCTTCAAACAGGAGAAGCTGAAAAGAAAGAAAAACGAATGGGCCTTATTAATGTTCTCCTTTCTCTGAGTCCTTTTATCCCAAAATAAACTAGACAGTCACGGTCTCTGTTAGCTGAACAGCAGGACAAGAGTGAAGGACAGGTCGGTCCATCGATGTGTTTGGCCCTCGGGGTTCAGGTGGCGCTGCTTTGGCTGCGTGTGATAAGACCGGGCCCTGCGCTCCCCGGGAAGCTCCTCTGGGGACGTTTTAATAAAAAAAACGAAACAAAAAAAACACCCTGGACTCACAATAGCCAGGGAGCTCATCAGAGTCAATGAAAGGACGTCGAAGGATGTGGAATGAAGTGTCATACGTGTGTAGAAATCTGAATGGAAGTGAGGGCCCTGTCCTTTTTTTTTATCCCCCTCCTGCATCGCTGCTCCCCCCTCCTTCCTCTTTTTTTTCCCCGGCCTGGCCCTCTCTCCTTTTCCAGAGCTCCCTTCAGATTGAATGGCTGTCTGATAAGAGCTGTGATTACATTGATTTGGTGTAGGGCCATTTCCACTGTCTGTCCATCTCCCTTCTCAACTTTTACCCTTGTACCCTTCAATAAACTGTTTCTACTCAAAGCAATTCAGGTGCACAGATCTGACAGTCTAGAACACACACACACACACATTCGCGTTTTCATTATATATAAGGACGTTTGACGGAAATAGGACAAATGGGTATGTGCCTTTCCAAAGGTTCGACAGGTCTGAGAATCCCAGAGTTTCCTATCCATGCATTCAGGAAAGCATTCATCTATTGAAAGTTTAGCTAGAGCAACATTTTGAGAAATCCCAATTCAGGCACGCACAAACACACATACTCACACACACGCACACACAAGCATGCAGAATGTATTATAGTTACAAAACGTAATATCATAGGTGTGAAAGATAATTGAAAGCTTATACCTGAGAATATTCTACAAGTGTCAAGTGCCGGTTGCAACATCTGCAAGCAAATTTAACATCTAGCAGGTTGATTTTATTGAACAAAATGTGAGAAATCGTATGCAGACAAAACCCGTATGGTTGCAATTACACGTGCTGAAAGCATTAGCATGTATTTTTTCAATCCCCAGCATCACTGACAACGACATACCGCCTTTTTCTGTATGTGACGCTGTTATCATGAAGGATCCCCGGCAACCAAACGTGTCCCACATCTCTGTCCTCGCCCCGCTTCTCCGACTGGCCTCGATCTAAAGTGATGGCTGACGCCGCTTCTACAAGCTGGATGTCATTCAGATTGTCTGCCAGCATTCATCTCCGCCACAAAGCGAAGGCCTCGGGGGTCTCGGAGGAGCCCCTGGAAGCCGACTTGCCAAACGGCTTCCGAGTTGTTGCCTGTCTGGATGGCACCGTGTGAGGGAAGCAGTGGAGCGGGAGCTTGTGAAGTGTGTGGGGTTAGTTACTTGTGATCTGTTGTTATGCATTTGGCCCGAAGCCGACACGTTTTTTCTTGAAGGAAGTCTCTTTAAAAATACACACGCAGGCCTGGATCTCTGGGTATGACAGAATTCAAAGGCAAGGTAGGAACAGAGAACAGTGTTTCTGTGAAAAAGCTCAGATGAATCCTTAAAGTCACACATTTTTTTTCTTTTTTTGGAAAAAAAAGAGCCTTGGAAACTAAAACCAGCTAGTTTAGTGTCTGGACAAAGGCAGAGGAAGAGTTACATAAAAAATGTGTCCAAAAAACGTAACTTTGCAAATGTAATAACTTGGGTGTTTTTTTTTAAAGGCTGTTTTATGCAGCTTTAAAGTGAGGAGTCGAAAACAACGCAGAAGGGAAACCTAAAATGTTTTTTCCAGGCCGACTGTTTCCTGTGGTATTAACGCAGTGGCTTTGATACGTCTGTCAAAACACAGCTGAAAGACAACACAGCAGCTAGTTTTTCCACCTTTGTTCGGGCTGACCCGTTTTAGGGTACAGAGTGACCCACTTATTCCATCCCCACCCTCTTCTCTGGGGTTTGCTCCTTTCCAGATCAGGGGTGCTAATTTACACTTGAAACAACATCGCAGGCTTATGACAGAGGATGCTCTCAAAAGCCTGAGAGCTCCCACAAACCCACATTGCAGTTTTTTTTTAAACCTTTATCGCTTTTTAATTGACATTTTATCCTAAAACTGTATTTAGCCTGGACCATATAGGATATGTAAACCCTGGGCTTACTGTGTGAATTCGGCTAGTCCACCATCAATCAATCAATCACCATCATATTACGACTTATATTTAGATTTTGTTTTAAATAGACAAAAGCGAACGGCAACAAACAACAACTAATGAAAGAGATTTGTGGGCCAGATGACCAGACAGTAGCAACAAAGAAAAAATAGAGCGAGGAGCCCAGGGCAGTGTGTGTGTACCCAGAGTAAAACTTCAGACTAGATTCGACTAGTGACCACTGTACCATCGGCATATGAGGAATCCACCCTGGACGGTCCACCAGTCCATCGCAGGGCCACACAGAGACAAACAAGGACCACCAACCACGCACATTCACACTCACTCCTAAGGGCAATTTGGAATGTCCAACCAACCTAATGCAGGTTTTTGGACGGTGGGAGGAAGCCGTAGAACCCGGAGAGAACCAACGCAGAGATAGGGAGAACATGCAGACTCCACCCAGAAAGGTCTTGGTTACCCCGGGGACTCCAAGCCAGAACCCTCTTGCTGAGAGGGAAGCACGTTGGTGAAGTGGTTAGCACCTCACAGCATATGAGGAATCACAATCCTTAAAAACGGCATCCGTATTATAATGTCCCCATTTCTACTGAGGCACCCTCACCACTATCATCCTACTTCTATAGTAAGTAAATAAAATAAAAACTAAAAAAGGAAGGGAAAAGAAGAAGTAACGGGTCTAGAAGATAAGAAAATTCAAATGAAATAGTAAACTTTTATATATACACACACACAAGCAGTCACATATGGATAAACATATATTGCTAATACAGATCATTTGTCAAGATGGAGGTCGACACTGATAGATGGAACACAACTCACAATAGTGAGGTGGGTGAAAGAGTCTGGGAACGCGTCCGTTCAGTCGCATGCAATGAACTGCCCAAACTTTCCCCATATTTTCCCAATGCCGTCACCTTTCCCAGTTTGAAGACCCATTACTCAGTTAGCTAATGTGATGGAGAAATGTAGGGTTCCCTAGTATGTAGCGTTCAGGACGGAGTTTGAACTCTACATACTAGGGAATTCGTTTGTCTCAAACTCGCTTGACACTTCCCAAACTATTTCTGAGAGTCCTCTCCTGTGGAACCAGGTTCCAGTTTGGGTCCGGAAGGCAGACATCTTCTCTACATTTAAGAGTAAGCTTAAGACTTTCCTTTATGATAGAGCTTATAGTTAGGGTGAGTCCACCCTTAGTTATGCTGCTATAGGCCTAGACTGCCGGGGGATTTCCCATGATGCACTGAGGTTTCTGTATCTTAAAAGGCAGTTTTTCCTTGCCTGTGTCGCCTAGTGCTTGATCTTGGTGGGAATTGCTGGACTTCTGTAAATAACTCACTGCCTCGCTGTTACCATTCCCCTTTCCTTCCAAACCCCTCCATCCCTCCCTCCCTATTTGTCCTTGATGTTGCAATTTGACTGTATCTATGCTTAAGTGTACAGAAGTGTTTTTTTTCAAATTACTGTTACGTCCCCTGTAGGGGCCTTTCTTCCCCCCTCTTCCCGCAACCACTTTCCTGATGGATCTTTGCTCTGAAGAAAAACGGTGCGCCCTTTGAGTGGCTGCCCACGGTCTTCCCGAACTGGTGTGTCTATGTGTTTTGTTTGTATGATCCTGGTACGGGCTGGAAGTTAATTTCTCCTTGTGAGATCAATAAAGTATTAATCAATCAATCAATCAATCAATCAATCAATCAATCAATCAATCAATCAATCAAACTTCAGAGTCTGACCTGCTCTGTTTGTAAAACCTGGGAGATAACTGTTGTCGTGATGTGGCGCTATAGAAATAGAATGGAATTTAAATGAATTCAATTGGCCCTGCGATGGACGGGCGGACTGTCCAGGATGACCCCGCCTCTCGCCCATTGACCACTGGGAGAGGCTCCAGTTCTCCCGGCGACCCCGTTAGGGAATAAGCGGTAACGATAATGGATGGATGGATGGAGGGATTGAATTGATTCTGGATCACCCAGAAGTGGGGGGCGACTGACCGCTCAGCAGGGGCTGGTTGCGGCGGAAGGCGGCGGGCAGCGAGCCCAGGCGCTCCTGCCGCTGGTGCAGCACCCGGCCCAGGTGGCCCGTGTGGCGCAGGCTGCCCACCGTCACGCTGTGCAGGTAGACCGGCTCCACAAAGTGGCTCAGCAGCGCCCCCTGCAGCCCCAAGACGTTCCACCTGAGAGGGGGCAGGAGGAGGAAAAGGGACAATAAGTGGCTTTGATGGAAGAAAGGGACAAACAGAGATGAAGGAGGAGAGACAGAACCGGGCGTTAGACACAGAGGGGAAGACAGATGCCAGAGCCTTGATGACAGGTCGAGACAATTTGATCGTTATCTTGATGGGGGACGTGATGGATAACGGCCTCTGGTCCTCCCACCTGAGAGACACAAACCCATCACCGGCAACATCAGCACAGCCAGAGGTCAGCGCCTCGGCAGTCGTTACACGGAGCAACGCGTTTCCACCCGTGCGTTCATCAGCTCCCAGTCGCCCACAAGGGGCCGGGGGAAAGCCTCCTTCAATGGTTCGGTTTATTTTGGGAGATCCACAAGTGTGCTGCGAAAAACCCTGCCGGGTTAATCCTGCCGGCTGCCCCCGATTCCTGACAATACAGTCAGCTGGAAAACCACCCACCTTCTACTTAACAAGCAGATGCTAATTTTAACTCATTGACTGCCAGAGTTTTTTGAGCATTTTGACTGATTTTTCAAGAGCCACAGAATAGTTTGGGCTATGACTATGTAAACACCGAACACACCAAAAGAAAGAGTAGACTCTCTTCTTTCATCAGGAAAATTCTTTCTACCTTATTCCGTTCTTCCTCGACTTGCGTCTCACCGGCGACATGTTCTCTCATAGCGAACGGTTACCTTTTTCTTATTTGCCTACAGTCTCTGCTCATCTCCCATCAAAAGTGGCACTGCCACCTAGAGGGTCAATTTGTTACTACATACTCTGTCTAGAAGCCTGATATTTACGGACAAGCTTTAGCAGATCGTCCCCCAGCCACTCTCGTTGAAAAACATAAAAGACGTCTATAGACGTCTTTGGCAGCCAATGAGTTAAGATAGTGTTTATTACCATTCCTATCCTTCAATGTGCCTCATTTTTACATTTTTCCTTTTTGTTCATCGCTGACTCTTCATCATGGATGCGATTACAGTGGCCGCTTGTGTTTTTTTTCTCCTTTTCTCCCCCTCCCCCTCCCCAGGCCAACTTAATAATCACTCATTACAGCTCCTTTTTTTTTTCTTGCTTCCCGAGCAGTCAATTAACATCAGCCGCTATCTGGGAATCGCTAAACCTGCTTTACCTGCAATCTGTCGGCCACATCTGCAAGCGCCTCTCAAACAGAAAGCAGGAAGAGCCCTGTTTGAAAAGCCCCCCACCACCACCCTCTGAAAAAAGAAAAAAACGCTCCACCCAAACTGGAAGAGTTTGAGCTGAAATATTAATTTACTCCAAAGGCAACGCCGTGAATCGGAGGCATCTTCTAATCTCATGCAAGAAAAGGCAGCCATCTGGCTTGGGAGCTGGAATCTAAAACGAGGAGAGGGGAGAGGCCTCCTCCGCCTCACCCTGCGTCTTTCCCTTCCTCCAGTAAATGCCGACCATTAAAGTAATGCGTTCATCTGCATAAAACCGCGATGGAATGGAGAACATCATCGTTATATGACGGCCATTTAGGCCCCTCAATTAAATCCAGCTGTCGACTTCCAATCAAATATTAGCATAGGAGCTTTGGCTGGGCAGGGTTTAAGAAAACAAAATTATGATCACGGGATAATGCGATGATAACTGTGATCGGGTATGTTTACGATAAGAGTAAAGACCCCTAATGTCCCCTCTGGGCAGAGCTGAACTAACTGTAATAAAGTGCAGGGAGTGATGGAGGAGTGGGGAGAAAAAAAAAAGGAATGAGGGGTTGCGAAATGAGTGTGACAGAGGAGGAAAAGAGGTTTTTCCAGGGGATCGCTCCAAGTGTCTGTGTCTGTGGTTCTGAGCTTTTTTCGTTTCCACCCAGCTCTCCTGACCTTGATAAACTGGCCCTCGGTGACCCACTCACTTTAACGACGGCCACTGATCACTCGCCGCGATAAAGAAAATAATAAAGGAGGGTGGAAAAAAGAAAAAAGGTAGAGGAAGCCACTTAGGAGGAGCAGGATGTCCCTCCTCGCTGCTCCGTCACTCCATTTTTTTTTGGGTGGAGTAATTGCTTTCACCTCTCCAGGTGACCTGGGCAGATTTAATCACACACCGTCTCCATCCCCAGGCCGGCTGAATCAAATCGGGCAAATGAACGATGGCGGCACAGGAGAAGCCCCTCCCCCCCCCGTTTTCTGCCAGCAGACACAACGGGGGCCCGCTGGGGGCCCCCCGCCCCCCGCCAACAAAGTGTTGACCCAGCCCAATTCACCCTTTTGGGCCCCCCCCCCCCCCTTAGAGGACAAGCGTTGGCAGAAAATCTGAAGCCGTCTTATAAAGCGATTTCGGATCATTCCCAAAACAAGAAAAAAGGAAAAATTGCAATGTCAAGGATTGAGCTGTTAAAACTGCTGAGTTTGAACGAGCCAAACCTTAATGGACGTCATTCAGATCACTGGTCAAAACAGCGATCCAGACGGGGAAAGTCCAGGAGGATAGATTGGACGGGATTTCTTAATGACATTTTTTCCAAATCTCTTCAAAGCCGATGTGCTTTCGCTTTTAAGATTAGTGTCACTTAGCAAATTACAGCGCCCGAACAAATAAAGCTCCTATAATGGGCAAAATATGGCTGTTAGCTTAAGTGTTGCAAAGATTTTAGGAGCGTGTTGACATTTCAATACAGAACTAATGCGTCTGTACGCTTCCACACAGATAAAAAACAGACATGTTTGTACCAAGTCTAAACATCTGTTGTTCCTGACACTCTGAAAATTTGAATTTCTTATCCCCTCTGCTAAAACATTTATAAGTGAATCGAGTTCAATTCATCACTATTTACTGCTGGAACAGGCAGTACATTTTTCCTCCCATTTGTTCTAACTGATTTTTTCTGATCTCTCGCCCATTCTAATAAATAGTGTGAAGTTTCTGTGAAAGTTCTAATAAAATGTATCAGGGTTGTCTGGTTGTGTTGACCTATATGGGCTAATATTTGAAAGATATGAGAAAAAGAGTATGTAACCATTTAAATCGATACACTTCAGAGTTTTCAACTAGTAGCCTATGATCTAAACTCAGAGAACTCGTTCTGCATTCCTTATATTATATTTAATTCCTAAATGCACTCTCCATGAGGTAGAGCTGGGCCATCGTTTTACATAAATAGGTATGTTAGCAGCTAATATTAGCAGCAAATGGAACACGTGTTGGTAGATCATTAAATCATTCAGCATTTGCTCTGTCTTTCTGTAGACCTTAAATCCCTTAATGAATATGAATATATCGAACGTTGGAGTGTTTTTTTGTGCGCCGGCTTTGCTAAATGCAGAGCGATTATTGCTAAAAGGAACAATCTATTATCATTGCTGGTATTCCCTTTTACCTCATTCATCTTACAACCTAACTGGCAAATGCAGTGTGTTCAGGCTTAAACCTCAATAGATATTTCTGATGGTTTTTTTTGTGCTGTTATTAAAACTATTAAAGAGGTTGGCTCCACAATAAAACAACAAGAAAGTTTCAATGTTGTGATTTCTCAAGATATAATTTATGGGATTAACAAACAAACACTGGAACATGCTACTACTTTGGTTTTACACCTTTTCCCTCACAATGTTGTGGTTAGTTACAGTAATTGCAGTACAGTTTTACTTTTATCATCATCATTATGTTTATTATTCTAATTAAATGCTTAAGAGGGTAGTCAACTTAGCTTACCGAGTCCACCCCTAAATATCAGTATTGAATCACTTTTACACTATTTTCAAAATATGAAGCTCTGCAAATGTGTGAATGGACTGCTGGCAGCTTTAATTTTTACCATTTTCTTTCAGTGTGAACAGTTTAAATCATTCTATATTTACGTCTATACAAACAATCAGTGTAATAATCTGTAACAACGTGCTTCATCCATTAAGATTTAATATATCCATGTGAGAAAAGGAAAAAGAAAGACAGAAAGAGGTGGGAGAAAGTTGTCTTGGTTGTGTGCACGTGGGTGTGTAGATGTAAACAAGCCTCAGTTAGCACAAACTTAGGCCTCCTCTCCTAACACACAGAGACGGTGTGAAAATGGAGGCGGAGGAGCAAAGCCATCCTGATTTAACTTCACCATCTGTCTTTCGCTGGACTGCCAACATGTGGACGATTTGTTAGCAGTTAAAGAGAAACACGGGTTCCATTTAATCCCCCCCTCCAATTTTAAAACCATCTTCACATTTATTTGCTTCGCTGAGTCTGACTCAAACTAATAGCAACACCGGAACAAAAAACGGAAATGAATTAAAAAGAAATAACACACACTTATGACTTGATTAAAAAATTCTTGTGTCAACTCCTAGTCTTTGTTGTGTATACAGACAAAGCAAAGCAAATCAATAAAAAACACACCAGGTAAAGGGTTGTTTGGCTAAAACGTTAGCAGGTGCAAAGTCACCTTTCTGATCTAGAGATTACAACAAAGCTGTGATCAAGAACTAATTCATTAGAATGGAATTATCAAGTCGAGTCACATATGGGTAATCAATATTCACTACTTGGATCACAAAAGATCTCACACAAGCCATAGCTCCTGGGAACACACACCCACATGCAGATGCGCTAGGTAAATATCACAAATGCCTCTGTCTGGCTCAAACAGCCCGTTTTGAAATACTATACTCAAACAAACCTATCCACTTCATAAGGAACGGAACCCTCTTGTAAGTTAACCTTTCCACCAATCAGTTTGCAGTCCTTTTTTTAGCTTGTTTTTTTGACAGGAACAGAGATTTCTTTATTGATGGAGAGCGCGTTTGTGTGTGGTTTCTAAAAAAAAAGAAATGTCAACCTAATCCATGCAGAACTAACAGCAAGTCTCTCTCTCAGGATATTGGATGTGAGCTTTTATATATGTTCCTCCTGGAGAAGAACATGGCAGAAAATGAAGGGAGAGGTGTTTGTTGTGTTTGGAGCAAATAGGGGTACAAAAAATGTCTTCTTAAAGACAGAAAATGTAGCTTAGGACTGACATGGAGCGATGCTAATGGGCCGACCTGGTGATTTTGTCGGTGCAGGACATGGTGATGAGCTGTTCCCCCTGTAGCACGCCATCCCAGGTCTGGACCGGCCCCCGGCACCGCACCGGCACCGTGCCTTCTCCGGATTCTATTTTGGTCCGCAGGTGGCTTCGGTGCTTCCTCATCAGGTGTCTGCTGCTGTGTACTGAAAACACGATGCCCATGGGGACATTTTTAGTGATTCGGGACAATATATACAATATGTATATCCTATACATTTTGGGGAATTCACAGCAATTGGTCATAATGTAACTAATTGCATGGGTGTTTTAATATATGACACAAGACAAAACAAACAGACAGAACAACCCGTGTTTTGCCCCATTTTGTTAGTCAGAGCAGACAGTGTAAGTCGGGGACGTCCAGCAAGTTTTAGAACTTTCCTTGCTTTCCTCTCGCCCCATCTTGATGAAATGGATAAAAAAAAACCTGCATTAGCCTGCTGATGGTGGACTAACAAAAAACACGTGGTCAGCATTATCGAGGATCTTGGCTTTCTTAATATCTTATTTTCTATGGAACCTCATTAACAAGCTAGAAAATGGGAAACTGTACAAAATCCATTTCACACCAAAGTGAATAGAATAGGAAATAGTGACTGTTTTTGTATTAACTCATTTTCAAGTCTATGTCTGACATTTTTTCTATCTATCTATCTATCTATCTATCTATCTATCTATCTATCTATCTATCTATCTATCTATCTATCTATCTATCTATCTATCTATCTATCTATCTAGATATTTCAAAAGATCGCAGGGAAAATGCTGTGTCAACTATCTAAACAAATATACAATTTATTTTTAGTCTGTAAGCAAGAAAACTTCATCAAGTCAGAAAATTGTGGCTGAAAAAGTCCAAAAAACATGACTTAAAAAGGATTACAGGTCCTTGAAGGGAATAAAAAGCACTCTGTGAAACAATAACTTCTAGAGTTTGTAAAAATGACTCTTGTTTTGGCTGATAAAATAGAAAAAAAATAATAAATGAAAGGGATTAATATGAATAGATGAAATAAGACGGTGCATCTTGTAATATGTGACCGTGTTTAGTTGTGTAAGAAAGAAAGAAAGCGTGGTGTCTTACGGTCTGTGGTCATTTCGTAGGGCGAGTTGAGCCTTCCGTCTCCACACGGCGAGGTGCTGATGTACATGTGGAAATGGACATTGTCTCTCAGTCTGTAGCTGCACTCTTTGTGGCGGACAAATATTGACTCCTCCCAGTCCTCTAGCCTTTTACTGTCAGTAAAAAAAAGGAGAAAAAGGCAACAAGAAAGAGGGAGACTGATGAGAGAGGTAGCGCCATTCATCACAGCGCGGCGCATGGATTTCCTCTAGAATTAAACAATGATGGAGCGAGTCAGAAAAGCACCGGGATGGACACTGGTTTTGTCCCTGGCCAGGCACACTCCAAAACATTACTCAGATCTTTTTCCCCCAAATAACCCGGAGCTCTGACTTCAGTGCATACAACGCTGAGCAGTGTTTCTCCTCTGAAAAAAAAGAGGTAATCAGTCAGAAGGAGCTGGCTCCGTGATATAATTCACAGCTGCCGTGGAAGCAAACAGCAAGAAATAGAATCTCAATAAATGACGGGAATCTCAAATAGTCCGGAAAGATAGTCGAATATCATCTGCCTGAGATGGATCTCCTAAATTTGTTTGTGAGATGTTTCTGTGGGTCTTTTCTTCCCACCGCCACCCCATACATGTTCAGGTTAGACATACATATTGTTGGTTTCCTTGACAAGTAAACTTTTTATTTTCTAAATTCTATGAAACAATGTTTTGTATAAAACTGATTAGATCTGTTAATGATTGAGAAAAAACTTGAACTAGGCTGTATCTTAACCCTTTGAAGTCTGATACAAGAAAAAAGTGAGAGAAATGATTATTATTCTCATTTTTAAGTCTTCATTTGGACCTTTAACAAAATATGAAAAAAAAACTTAAAACTTAAAAACTTAATTTTATGATTGAATATGGTGATATATGATATTTCTAACTTTGTAATTATTTCAGATCCATAAAACATCTAATGTAACCAGGCATTGTGGTTTCAATACATTCAATTTATTTTAATGTTATTGGAATGATTAAAGATGAATGCACATTACTTAATAGGGTAAATGTGCATATATATCACTGACGCTTCGAAACATTTTATTTATTTCATGCCAAACTAGTAAAAGAGCCACTAAAATGTCATAATGATACGTTTAAAAACCATAAATTCCAAACTCTAAAGCTTGATTACCTTTTAACTATAAATTTAATACCTGAACACCAAGTAACACTTCAGCCCTGCATGATACAAAGAGAAACAAAAGAGAACGCACAATAATACCAGCAGCTGTTCTCTCTCTGAGCATGATATATAAATAACTGGACCCGTCATGCATAGCAAAACATCCTGATCAACAAAGCTCAATGACATTAGAGTAGAATCCAGTTCTAATTAGCGATAGCATTAACTGGAAATCCGTTACTCTGTAAATCCATTGTATGACTTTTTAAATCGTTTCTCTTTACAATGCTGTTAATAAAGGTTCATGCTCTCGGCGTTGTATATCCAAAACAAGGCATCGAGATGCAGGGCACGATTTTTCTCTTTACATAACTTCTCCCGCGCCTCTGATGTCCTTTCACTCTGTGTAAATATGGCAGTTCTGGCATTTTCTTTGGCCATTTCATTATGAGTTATCTTCCCCATTAGCCATTTAACTCAGCTGCAAAGTCTCTGCACCTGCCACCGAGCATTGTCCAAAGGCAAAAAGTCAGAGCTGTATATGCAAATATGACATTCAACGATCTGGACTTTTTTTCCCACTAATCTGATATATCAGCCTTGCCACAGAGTTCTCTGGTGAGCACAAAAACATAATATATTCTTATGCACTGAAGGTAGGTAGAGGTCCAAATGAATCAAGACATTCTTTTCGTAATGGCACGGCTTTGTACATTTGTGTACCCCATGGGCCACTAAACGTTAAAAAAAGATGCTCATAAAATAGGGATAAAAACAAAAAGGGCACCAAGAACTTGACTTTAAAGCAACTGAGAGAAGGACGCAGCAATTTCAATAAAGAAAAGATGACATGTGTTAAAAGGTGTTGTTTACATAAATGTGTTACAGAGTAGGGAGCATCGTTTGGTTGTAGCTATTAGAACAAGATATAATGTTATCAAGCAAAGTGTAACGCATTATCTAATGGGAATCCAAAGGAAGAAAAACCGATATAGTACCACTTTTCATCTTATTACATCCACTTTAAAAAATCTTCAAATTTTTCATTTTAAATCGATCAACACCGTCAGGTTTTCCGCATTCCGTATTCACGGTGTTTTAGAGATCCTGCAGAACTTAGGTCTCATACCTCAAGAAGAGTTCAAGTTGTGAGTAGAGGAAGCGTAGCAGGGCTCTACGAGCTGTGACCTCGGCGTGACAGTCGTTGACCACTTGGCCTTGGTCACTCAGATACTCCCCGTTGATGCACTTGGTGCCCGTAGATAACGCCACCACCTGGGCGTACCTCAGGTCCAGATCTGTTGAGCAAAAGCGGACAAAAATGGACATGTGTGTGTAAATACAGCATGTTCTTTGTCACCGTGTTAACTTTTCTACTTGAGAACATAAAACCTTACAGTGACCACAAAGGAATTGGTCTGGATTTTGCATGAAAACAGCAGTAAAGAACGGATACGACTTAAAAACCATTTCTATAAGCACTGTTTAAGTGTGGTGTATGCGGGTTCATAAAGCTGAGAGGCTACATAAAGCCCCAAAACATGAAAAAATGGTTTTTGTTTGGGGATCATCAGATCCAAAGAGGTGACCAAGTGGTATTTCCAATGTGGCATATATAAAAAAAGAAGAGTCCTGACTGAAATCAAGGTTTTAAAGGCAGTCCCGTTGTCCCGGTTCTTCCTCTGACAAGAAAAGAGACACTTTTTTGTCACAGGTTGGTTTGGAGGACTCAGGCCAGCGCGGGGAAATGTGACTGACAGACAGATGGAGGCTGGAAGGGTGGTGGATCAGCGCGTTAACGGCTCGCCGTTGCTTCCCGGGCTGCTCCGAAATCTCTCCCATCGCCCCTGAAATTCAGGCTTCGCTGGCTCCTGGCAGGCCTGCGGGCGTCGCCGGACCGGCGCCTGAGCTTTTATCAGCCTCGGCCCAGATGGCACTGCGGCGTTAGAGTCCTGACACCTCCACTGATGAGAAAGAAGGAGGGCAGGCAGGAGAAAAGGCTGAGGGAGTGAGGGAGGTGAGTGGATGTGTGAGGGGGCGCAGTTAAGGAAAAATGAGCACAGGGCTGATGGAGGGAAAGTCTATGGGGAGAAGAAAAGTTCAACTTTTACTCTACCAACTGCCATTTGTACTTGCTTGAAAATTGACAATAGATTCAAGCACAAATTGCAAAAATAAATTGAGAGAAAAATGTGGGATTAATAATGCAAGAGAATCTCACAAATGGCTAGTGTTCTCTTTTTATCTTATGTTTGCCACCAGACTGACTTAAATCCTCATTGGAATACATTATTCTAAGTCTCAAGCTGTGGAAGCTGAACTTTTAGTCCATGGGGAACAATAGAAGCAAATACCAAACACAAACAAACAAACACACACACACACACACACACACACACACACACACACGCACGCACACACAAGCATCAACAACAGGTAAAATACAGCTAATTTTTTTTATAGTTTGCAAGGTTTGATTCAGAATGGACTGATGTTAAAATGCCACAGAATGAAAAGATTTTATTTTGCCCTGTACTTAATAGTTTAGGGAGCTAAATCTAATGTGCATAGATAGCGTGATATCATCCCCTGCGCATTAGTCTTAATCAAACTAAGCAAATGGAGAAAACAGTCGATTAAAATGATATACGATCATATAGAAACCGTACCATATGTTTGACAGTGCAGCCCCCGTATAAATCTCTTCATCAGGAGCTCGGCTATTAGCATTCCCCGTAAGCAACGCTTCCCAATTCCCTCCGAGTGATAAAGCAGTTGCAAAAAAAGGTAACAGACTCTCCCAATTTTATTCCCCCTGCTTTCCCTTGCCGTTCCACTTTGCCAGTGTTTAGATCAATTTTGCAGTGGATAATTTCTGCCGCGCCGCTCGCCACCCTCCCATGAAATTGGCGCCGAGGTCGCCTTCGGTTTTGCCGGAGAGAGCAAAGGAGGAGCGGAGATGAATGGAAGAGAGAGGAAGGGACGGGGAGCAATCAGCCGAATCACAGCCAAAATAAAGGAAAAAAGGGGACGGTCAAAAAGGGAACAAGGTAAAGCAAAGTCAAAGGCCCCAAGCGCTCTTCAAACACACAAACACATCTGACGATCAACGGCCATTCAAAGGAGTCACACCAGAGGATGTCCACCCTGTCAAAAGGCGTGGACATCACAGGATCAGACCTGGAGCCACTTCCTACGACAACGGCGCGATAATGTCGGGAAGAAGAACACAACTCGGATTGAAAACACGCTCCCCGACCACACACAGAGCCCAGACTTTTACATTTATTTAATCTGTCTTTCAGCCGGGTGTTTCTTTAACGCCTTATCCTCATGGCTGAGCTGAGGTCGGACGTCGAAAATGCGGAAGGATGTGCGACAACAATCAAGCAAAGCCGTGCAATTTCCGCGTCGGGAATTAGAGCGAATTTGTACAGCCGTCGCCCACCCGCCGGGTCAAAAGTACGAGCAAATTGCATTCATGTTCAAGTGACTGACAGCGAAAATAAAAGCTTCCTCGTAGCACGCGCGGTAACTAGCGTCTCTGAGGCCTATTTTGCCGGTTTGACTTATTTAACTCCATAATGCGTCACGCCACGGGGATTCTGGGAAACAGGTTTAGACGCCAATCGAGTCCACGCAGCCTCATTTGTTCAATGAGCGCTGTGGAACGTTACTGTGATAAATGGAGCAAGCCAGGTCACTTTTCCAGTCATGACCGGTGTTAGCAACTGGATAAGATGAACTTTTCCGGAAGCCCTTAGATCCTGTCTATGTACGCACCTATGCATTGCACAGATTCATCACATATTCCATCAATCTATTATTGTAACCACTTATTCCCTGATTCCCCGGAACTGGACCCTATCCCAGTGGTCAATGGGCGAGAGGCGGGGTACACCCAGTCCATCGCAAGGTGACACAGAGACACACAAGGACCAACAACCACTCACACTCACACTCATCCTAAGGGCAATGTCCAATCAACCTAACATTCAGGTTTTTGGATGGTGGGAAGAAGCTGGAGAACCCGGAAAGAACCCACACAGACACAGGGAGAACATGCAGACTCCACATAGAAATGTTCTGGTTCCCCTGGGGACTAGAACCCAGAACCCTCTTGCTGTGATGGTGCTAACCACCACACCAACTTGCCGCCCGATTCATCACATATTTTGTCTTGAGATACTAAACAAAGTCAGTCATTAGGACCTTACATCGCAGACGCGAGGAGAATTCCCAAAAGAAGGTAGATCTGCGAGGAAAATCTGAGGTGACGGTATAATGTATTTATTCATTTATTTGTGCTGAAAGCAGCTAGTTTTTTTCCTACATCAGAGTGTACGTCAACCCATTCATCAAACAGCTCCAGCATGTGCGTTCTCCTCTGTGCTTCTGCTTAATGTTGTGTTACTTCCCGCTACAGCGCCGGTCCACTTCCTTCGCTGTGGCTGCCCGTTGGCGAAAAGACGGGCCTCTCGCCACCGGGCTGCATCTCACTACATCACCAGCCGTTTGTCCAGACGGCTACGGCGGACAGTCTCCGTCCCAAATCGAGATTTCAGGTCTGGCCTACCAACAGCGAGGGTGGCCGGGGACACAAGAGAAAAAGCTTTAAAGCTTTAAATCTGGGTAGATCTGAATTAAGATGACTTTGAGATTTACATATAGCTCAACCACAACATCCCTTAGATGCCCAACAAATCGACTGCACAATTATCTATTGTTTCTCCCTTTTCCCACTTTGTCACATATTGTTCTACCAGATCAACCCCTTCTTAATTTCTTTAGCCTGCATTCAAATGCTCTCATTATTAGTCACTCAGAAAAGATGTGAGAGCTTTCAGAGAAATGATAGGAATGGCCATCCATTTTCCCCCTCATATTCTTCTTATGTGTGAATGAGGATTGCTTTAGATACAGTCTTTCGTTTTAGGGTGCAAACATCTGTTTTGCTTTGCTTGTGAACAAAATTCATACTCAGGATTTGGAGAAACGATTCAGAAAATAAGAAAAAGGAAAATAAAACAAGAAATTCTTATAGGTTACTACCCATTGGTGTTAATCAGTGTTCCCTTTTTTGTAGATTAATTTCTACACTTGATTTCAAGATGGCTGAAATTCTTTCTGATTATTTTTGACAATTGACAATGCATAACACTGAACATAGTTTGAGAAGCCCCTTTTAGAATTCACAGATGTAAGACACAAATGAAAGATTTTACGGTTCCGTCATCATAATATTAGTCTTAGCTCAATTTCATTTAGAGAGTAAATTCAAGAATAAAAACCTTTCCTAGTGTATGGGTATTTCCACATTAGGTTGAGTGGATTGTCTGTAACAAGACAAGTAATTCTAATTTAAAATACAGTCATTAGACAGTCATTGTAAGTTATTCCCTTAGCACATGTGGGGGTTAAAAAAAGAGCAATCGCTTATCTGAAATGAAAAGTAAATAGGAACAATTACTATGAAAAATAGAAAAAAAAAACATCCATATAAATGACATGACCCGGACGCGAACTTTGCAATGATCCATTATGATGTCTGTCACACGCAGCGAACAGACAGTGGGAAGCTATTACTGCAATCCCTTTATTCTCCGCGTCTCTAAAACAGGGAAAAACGTTCCCTAATAAGCCTACCATTATCTTTGGAGCCATAAAGCAGACATTAAAACATTTTCTTCTGAGGCTTCGCGAGCTCTCAAGGTCTACTTTTATATGCCATTTATATGCCGGCTCATTTATATGCTGTTTAGGTTGAGCTCCATAAGTCGCCTCTTTCGTATGTTCTTTCATCACCAGATGTTGGATGATTACACTGAATGTCATCCAATCCCCTCGTTTGAGTTTGTGAAAAAATCTCTGCAGGAGCTGAGAGTTGGAGGGAGGGGAAAAAAAGCTAAACAAGACAACACAACTTGGCAAGAACGCAGAATGCGCTCTGTTGAATCTTTATTAGCTTTAACAGGCAAATGCTACGAAATCACAAGGAGGGCTTTGTGAAATTCTCCCTGCTTCAACACACCCTCTGCACATCTCTGCTAATTTTTTTGAAAATCTCTCTCCTCTCTCAGAAGCTGTTTTGTTGCCGGGTGTGATTATTTGAACGTTACAGTTTGCTACGGACGGAAAAGCAGATAAAGGGCGCTGCGAAATCCCCCTTTGAAAACGGATATGCAGACTAAGAACCCGCAGCTTAACTGTCATTTGTAATCGACTTGTTTGAAACCCTTTTTCTCTCATCTCTTTCGTTCAGTCCCCGTGGAATTCTTTCTCTTGCTCTCTCATGGCTCTGCTCAACATAAAAAAGAAGCCTGAGAGGGAAGTTTCACTCATCACAAATACATTTAGAGTGAAAAAAGCAACCAGGGAGGAGTGTTTATTTGTCTTTTAGCATTTTTCCATGTGGATGATCCTGATTTTTCATGTCTCTGAGCACATCAGAGCTCTGTTTACCATCTCCAGACAGCCGACGCTATCTCAGATCGATTCAAATGAGGTTTTTTCCACGCTATTTGACAGCGCGCGCTTCCAGTTTACTTCAGCCATCGTCTTGCGACTCCTGGGCCTGGCGGTGTGGCTAATCTGGCTCAGGTTGGAGCTCAACTGTCTCGGCAGGACCCCAGCAAAGGGTGTGTGTGTGTGTGTGTGTGTGTGTGTGTGTGTGTGTGTGTGTGTGTGTG